CATATACATTTATACATAGTATATGGTAACATTTTTTGTGTTTGATAAATAATAACAAAATACATTTTTAGTTACACGCTGTTAAAGCTTTTTAAAATATTATTACCAATATATTTTAATTTCAAACTTTTGTGAAAGTAACTTTATAGAAAATTAAGAGTTACAAATTATTTAAAACATAACACCTTTTTTAACAAAAACATTTTAAACTTTATCAAATACTATTCAAGTCTATTTTCTCTTTAGCTTCTTAGCTAATATAATTTAAACAAATAAATAACAGAATATTTTAAATACACCATATTTTTAAATTAGCAACAAAAAACAATTTTAACTTTATAAAATAATATTAAAGTCTATTTTCTCTATAGCTTCTTAGGTAATGTAGTTTAAACAATTAAATAACAGACAAATTAAACAATATATTTTCAAATTAATAACAAAAAAAAAATTAACTTTAGTAAAACAAATACTACTCAAGCCTTTCTTTTCTTTTAGATTCTTAAACAATAGCATTTAAACAATATTATTAAATAAATAAAATTGTGTTATTTATTAAATATTTTAATCTAGTCTATGGACTTTTTAAAATCAAGAACGAAGAGCATAAATTTGTTGTTCAATCAAGTCTTTTTGTTTTTGCATATCTTCCATTAAACATTTTTTTTTTTGCTTGTAATATATCCAATTCTTTTTTATTTCTTTTTTCTTTTCCTCTACTTGAAAATGTTCCTCTTTAATTTTTTGTTTTTCCTTTAGAGCTTCTTCATAATAACTGCGTGAATTCCGTACAGCTATTATAAGTTCTTTGTTTATAATAATAATTTTCATTCCACCTGCATTCTGTATAGCTGAATAAACATGTCTTTGGACAATAAGAGATTCTTCTTTTAAATTTGTTATGAGACATTCTTGTCTTTTTTTTTAATTGTCACAACAGTTATACAATTTTTTAAAATTTCAGGTATAATAAAAAATTCCCTGACATTCTGGAGATTCCCTGACTAATAAAATAATTCCCTGACTTTCCCTGTTTTCCAGATTTGTGGCAACCCAGTATAAGTTAAAAATAAACAATTAAAATTTATTTCATAAAAATCTATCTACTGGAATAACACTGAATACTTTATAAAAATGATCCCTAATTTTGTATCATTCTTTGAAAAATATGTAGAATTTAAAAAAAATACCTTTATTAAGTTTTAAGTAAAATACATTTCTGAACTGTAAAGCAGCTAAACAAAAAATTTGGTAAATCTTGAGCTACCAGTCTAAAATATATACACTTACCTAACAAATCAAATAAAAAAATGTATGAAAATCTGTGTCATTCTTACTCTATGGTCTACACAACTAGTTTTATATTTATGACCAATATATATATACATATATATATATATATATATATTCATATATATATAACATTCATTTAAAACTTGTATAGTACTAATAAAAAATACAATATATAATTTAAAGACATGTATTGATTAATACTATAAGACATTAGTAGAATCAAATATTAATATCTAAAATGTTTGATAAATTATAGTACATAGTATAAATAAACCCATAGATATTATAAGATCTTATAATATCTATGAATAAACCATGATATAAATTATTGAAGTATGATCAATTAATTAAATTAAAATAATATACGATAAAAATCTAACTTCACTGATTAAAAGTTAACTAAACAGGGTTTTATTTAATAGAAGACAAAATTTCTCAGTATACATTTTTCGAAAAATGACTATCAATTATTTATTTATTAATTTTTATGCTGGAAAACGAAACGGGAATTGGGATTTTATTTACATTTTGGAGGTTGGCATTAGCTTCTTTTTTTGGTTCTTATCATGTTAATTGTTATCAATCGTTATCAAAATCGGGAAGACTGTACCCGTCCCGTGATGGAATATGTGGCAGTGTGTCCGCCACATTACTCCCCCCCTAAAAAAAAAGGAAACAACAAAAGTGATAAGAGCAAACAATAACAACAAGTTTAAGATAATGCGACGCGATCGTCGAGCGGGCGTGCATAAGAATGGTCGGAGAGCGGTTCGTCGCGTAGTACGAAGGCGGACTTGAGGCGGTCGATGGAAACCCACGAAGTCCGGAGGTGGAGTTGGATTTTGAAGTCCCGCGGTCGTTTTTCCAGGACTGCGAAGGTGCCCTCGTAGGAAGGCTTGAGGGGTGCTCGTTGCGCGTCTACGCGGACGAAAACGTGGCTGGAGTCGTCGAGGCGAGCTGGAACGAAGATTCGTCGCGTCGTGTCGTGATCGGAGGAAGAGACAGGTTGTAGTCGGGCCATTGATGTCTTCAGCGTGTTGAGAAGGTCGTGCGGAGTGCGATCGACTGAAGTGGAGTGGAACAGTTCTCCCGGGAGTCGAAGGGCGGTGCCGTAGACGAGCTCGGCAGACGTGGCGCCGATGTCCGGCTTGATAGTGTGTTGCGAAGGGCGAGCAGCGTGATCGGTAGATGTCGAGACCAGTGCGGCGAGTCATGGGCGGCGAGAGCTGCTTTTAGTGTTCGGTGGAATCGCTCGACCATGTCATTCGCCTGTGGATGGTAGGGCGACGTTCAAATGCGTCGGATGCCGAAGGTGGACAGCAGGGAGTCCATTAGAGCAGCTTCGAACTGTCGGCCCTGGTCGGGGGAAATGACGTCAGGCACGCCGAAGCGCGCAATCCACTGCGTGACGAGCGTGTTGGCAACGGTGTGTGTGGACATTTCATTGATCGGCCACGCTTCAGGCCACCGAGTGAAACGGTCGATACAGGTCAGGAGGTACCTGGCGTTGTCGGAGACCGGCAGTGGACCGACCAGGTCGAGATGAAGGTGCCCGAATCGACGTTCGGGTTCCGAAAAATGCGTGAGCGGCGCGGCGGTGTGTCGATGAACCTTCGACCGCTGACATGCAAGGCAAGCTCTGGCCCAACGTCGGATTTCCCGGTCCATCCCGGGCCAAACGTAACGCTCTTTGATGAGCCGGCAGGTGGCTGCGTGGCCGCTATGTGCTTGCCTGTGAATCGTGGTGAAGACGGCACGGCGATGGCGTAACGGGACGAACAGTCGGGAGCGGTCGTTGGAAGTGTCGAAGTAGACCGGGCCTCTCGCAGTCGTGCGGGCTTGCAGCTGTAGGGACACTTTAAGGTTGCCATCGAGGATGGCTTGAAGTTCCAAGTCGTTGGCCTGGTCCACTGCCCACTGACTGAGGTCCGGAAGGTCGTCGAGGACGGCAAGCTCAAGACGGGAGAGCGCGTCGGGAACCACGTTGCTTTCGCCGCTGACGTGTTGGATCTCGCTGAAAAATTGCGAGAGAAATGCGACGTGGCGCGCCTGTCGGTCGATGATTTTTTCGGACTTTTGCGAGAACATAAAGAGAAGCGGGCGATGGTCGGTGCGAAGGGTGGTAGGTCGTCCTTCGATGGAGTGAATGAAATGCCGGGCGGCGAGGTATGCCGCGAGAAGTTCGCGGTCGTATGCGCTGTAACGCGCCTGTGCGTTGCTGAGCTTGCGCGAGAAAAAACCGAGTGGCAGCCACCTGTTGCCGGAGAGCTGCTCGAGCACCGCTCCGACGGCGACGTTCGAGGCGTCCGTGGTGAGTCGTAGCTGAGCACCGTATAACGGGTGCGCGAGTCGTGCTGTGTCGGCGAGTGCTTCCCGGCAGGTATGGAAGGCGTCGCGGGCTTCGTTGGTCCAAGTGAGTGGACCGTCGTTTTTTGCAATCTGCGCGGCGATGGCGAAGAGCGGTGTCTGTATTCGAGCGGCTTTCGGTATACAACGACGATAAAAATTGACTGACCCGAGGAAACGTTGAAGCTCCTTCTTGGTTCCGGGCAAGGGCCATTGTCGAATGACAGCAAGGCTATCTGGATTCGGGTGGGATCCGTGCGCATCGACAATGTGACCGAGAAAAAGCAGCGAATCGGCCGCGAAGACACACTTAGCCGGGTTGATGGCGATGCCAAACTCGTCGAAACGTCTGAGAACCTCGCGAACGTGTTCCCTGTGCTGCTCGGAGTCTGTGGACGCAATGAGGACGTCGTCGACGTAGGCGAAGACGAAGTTGAGGTCGGCGAGGATCGAGTTGACGAGACGTTGAAACGTCTGCGCGGCGTTGCGGAGTCCAAAGCACATCACCGGGAATTCGAACAAGCCGAACGGAGTGGTGACTGCGGTCTTGTGGATGTCGGCTTCGGCGATCGGGACCTGATGGTACGCGCGTACGAGGTCGAGCTTGGTAAAAACTTTTTTACCCGCGAGGCCGGCCGTGAAGTCATGCAGGTACGGTAGCGGGTACCTGTCAGGAACGGTGACGCTGTTCAGCCGCCGATAGTTTCCGCAGGGGCGGAACGATCCATCCTTTTTCGGGACGAGGAGCAGTGGACTGGCCCAGGAGCTCGAGGATGGGCGGCATATCCCGTGTTTGACCATGGTGTCGAACTCGCGTCGGGCGAAGAGCGGCGGTCCAGTCGTTTGGAGGACGTGCTCGATGTCGTGGCGAAACTTCGCGGGAACGGGTAACTCGCGCGTCACGTTCGGGAAGTCGGTCAAAATATCGTCGAGGCTTCGAGAGCGGTTGACAACGAACAGCGGGGTGTTCGTGCCCGGGGAGATTGATTTGACGACGATGCCACGGTTGGTCGGATCGACGAGGCGGTGGCGTCTAATGTCGACGAGAAGCCCAAAGTAGTGGAGGAAGTCAGCTATGATGATAGCGCGAGAGACGTCGGCGATTTCGAACGTCTAGTTGAACGTCCGTGAGAGGCCAAGGTCGATGTTGAGCGACTTCGGACCATACGTTTTGATTCGAGTGCCGTTGGCGGCTGTTAGATTGACACTGGAGTGTTGCCACGAGGTGTTGGTAGGCGGAATGACGGAAATTTCAGCTCCAGTATCAATCAGGAAGAGCCGGCCGGAGCGACGGTCGTTGATAAAGACCCGCGATGGAGTGTGGCTCACGGCTAGCAGGGCGGGCGACCTGACCACGGCGGTTAGTTTTCCGCAGAGGAACGCGGATCGGGCAGCGGTTGCGGATGCCCCTGCGATCTTCCTCGGCTTGAGGCTACTCGACTGCTGCACGGGGAGCGGCAGTTACGGGCGGACTTGCCGTAGGTTTTATGGTAATAGCAGACGCCCGTGTCGGTTGATATCGGAGGTGGTGGCGACGAGGTATGTTTCTCCGGCGAACGCCGACGTGCGTTGTTGGCTTGCAACATTCGTGTTAATGTGGCCATTTGTACGGATAGTTGCGCAACCGAGTTGGCCAACTCGTTGATACGCCCATGCGTGATTTCAAGCGCCTCCATATCCTGGGGGATGGCCTCTAACACGCGGTCGGCACGTGTTGCCAACATGTCGAGAGGGCCGTCGAGGCCGGCGACCACTGGGAGGACACTCGCCGGCAGTTTTTGAAGCCAGAATTGCCTAAGGGCCTCTTCGCCGATCTCGGCAGGTAGGGCGATACGCATGTCTCGCAGGAGTTGCGATGGTCGTCGGTCGCCGATACAACCGGGCCGAATGATGTCTCGAAATCGAGTTGACCGCGGCAGGTCGTATGCTTCGATGAGTCGGTTCTTGATGCCCTCATACGTGACGTCGTTGTCAAGAAGGTCGCCGATGGTGCGTACGCCTTCCTCGTCGAGGGCGCCGACAACGTGGTTAACGCGTTGAATTCGAGAACCGATGCGATGGTTCGCGAACACCGACTCCGCGTGTGTGAACCAGTATTGAGGCGACTGCTTCCAAAACCCGGGAAGCTTCACGACGGAGACGGCGTCGAGGGCTTCGGAGTGGCATTCGTTCGATTCTGCCATCGTGTCGGTGCTGCGCGTGGACAAATCGCGCGAACACACGAATGTGCGCCGGAGGATAATATTACCGCGGACGTGAGTGACGTCGCACCACAAGGCGCGTAGTCGGATCGAGCGCGTGTTCGGACGTCGAGCGCGTGTTCGGAACGTCGAGCGCGTGTTCGGACGAACAAAAAAACGGACGAAAGCGATGGCGGCGGGGCGCGAATTCGCCAGTCGAGGTCACCAATTTGGCGGCAGGGCGGATGTAGGTAGATAAGTTTACCGATACAAACCGCGTACCGCACAAAACGAAATGAATATGATGTCAATATATATAATGGCAATAATAATAAAAATAAAACCACGTTTTTTGTACGACGACAAAGTTTATATATATATTGAGCAAACAAAGTTATAACAAATTAATAATAATAATAATAAAGCGAAACTCGAGAGAGTAAAATGTCGAAGTCGGAGTTAACACGTGCGTAACGCGAGTCGGGACGAAAAGTCGGTCGTGAGCGTCGCGTACGTGTTGTTCAGACGAACGGTCGAACGAGAAGGAAAAGTTCGGCGCGCGTAAACGGCCGCGTCGCGTCGGACGGTCGTGTTGGGATAAGGCAGTGTGACCAATCCGGCGGCGGCGAGCGTGGTGAAGGAATATGTGGCAGTGTGTCCGCCACATCATTATAACGTACATATTGCTAATATCAACATGCATTTCTTAAAAATTCGTTAAAGACAGAAACAACATAAATACGTCAATTGACGTGCTTACTCTACAGTAGTGATGGGCGATTCTTGAAAGTGAATCGATTTTTTGAATCGATTTAAATCGACTTGAAAAAATTGATTCGGAAAAAAATCGATTTTCTGAGAATCGATTCACAAAATAACGAATATTTTACTCGTTAATAAAATCATAAATTAATTAAATTATTTTACTAGGTGAAAAATAATTAACTTAGTGGTATATTAAATTTTTAAAACTGATTTTAATTGAATAGCAATTGTACGGGGTTATAGAGTTATATTGTATAGAGGCCCAGAAGTCAGTATGAAAACATTTTGTAGTAATAAATTCTGTAGACAAAAACCTTATTGACTTGTTATTATAAAAAATGGTTGATGAGAAAAAATATTTGAGTTATCAGTTAATTAACAATATATTAAACACTAAACTTCTAGTTATAAGAAAATGTTTAACTTAGTTAAAAATATGTCAGGCGGTTAAAGATATTTTGAAAAGTGACAAGTGACTGAATTTTTACATAAAAGTGACATAGTGACATATAATTTAATAGATTCTATTTTACTTATTTTGGTGCATTATATTTTTGTTTTTTTCACGCATATATTTTTTACTTGTACAAAGTAATTTGAATTTTGAAACTTAACATTTTTTAAATGTTGACCATATACCGTCATAAACGCATTTTACTCTTTATTGAATTCACATTCTTGAAGTTATATAGTTTGACTTTAAACGTTAATAAATAAATAAATTATTACATATTTCAGATATTTAAACAATTTTATATCTAAGTAGGTATATAATACTATGCATCTTTGTTTTGAATTAAACTTTAATTTAATGCATGAGTAATAATAAAAAAATAGTGTGATATTTTTTAATTATATACTTTATTAATAAATAATACATAATTTTAACAGATACAGTTAAAAATATACAATTTTACAATGTTTTAATAAAAAGAATGAGTACACCTTAAGAGTACACCCATGGGTAGCGTCCTCTTAAGTAAAATGAAAATACCTATAAAATTATATACATATAGCGACAATATTTCTTATGTTATTCAATTATATTAAATCTAAATGCCAATCTTTTTCAGAAAGAGACCCAAGAAACATAAGTTGGTTCAAATTTTTACCTGTCAATCGGTTGCGACTATCCGTTACTATCTGTCCAGCTTTCGAAAACAAACGCTCTGATGGTACTGAAGTAGCTACTATCGCTATGTATGGCTCTACAACTTTTTTAAGGTTAGGATAAATTGGCCTGTGAGTATACCAAAATTTTAAAATATCATCACCTAATGACAAAGTTGACTGATTTAAATAGTGCTTTAAATCATTAGGCATTTCATTTGAATACATAGGTTCATTGACAGCTTTTTTAGAGACCAGCTCCTTATGAACTGACCATAAGTTATCTGGATTTTCATCATCTGATGAATTGTCTGTGGTAGAAGAACTGCTCTCACTACATTCAGTTCTGATATCTGTTATTTTTTTTTTATAATGCCAATGGCTTTTGAAGAAGCAATAGGATCATTCGAATGAAGTGTTTTGAATCGGGGATCTAGAATAGAAGCTATAGATAAAATTTCCAAATACTCGACCCTACCAAACCGGGTATTTAAATTTTTAAGTAAATTGTTCTTAAAATCTAGAGAAATAACATTTATAATTTCAATTGGTTCAATTTTTTTTATTAGGCAATGAAGTAATGGGATTACTTTACTAGCCGTCACATAGTTTTGGCCACATAGTTCTTTTGTTGCAGCTTCAAAAGGTTAGAAGTAGAAACATTTTTTTAGATTAAGTAATTCATTTTTTAATTTTAAATATAAAAACTGTTATAAAAATATTCATTTTTAACATAGGTAGGTATTTAATACAAAATTATCTAACTAAAAAAAATATGTTTTACATTTCCTAAATATTTATATATTAAATCTTACTTTCAAATGATCTTATTTCATTAAAAGATTGATCAATTGTGGGTTGCATCAGTTTTGACTGTTTTGAGCATGCACTGGAGGAGGATCTGGTAGTCGAAGTGGCCACAGTAAAATTTGATACCACAGAAACGTCAGAAACCGAATCACTCAATTCACTGCTCTTTAACAACACAGATTCATATCCAGAGCATTGAGATGTCGGCCGAGAATGAGACATAACCACTGTATCCAAAGTAGTTTGTGTTTTTGTACCAGACTGCTAAAAAAAATTTTTAAAAAATTATAATGTACATATGAAATGTCCATATTATTGCAATAGTGATATTTCAATAATTAAATCATAAAAATTACCGTGGACTGAACAATTGAAGGATCATCTTCATCATTTTCAAATGCAATTGGGTCCGATCTTGCAGATTTACAAGCTGATGCTGATACGTTTATATTAATGGATGAGTGTTTGCGTTTAAGATGTTGTTTTAGGTTGGTCGTATTCAAGCGCGCCCGCAGGATAAAATCCCACCAGGGGCAAGATAAAAATTACTTAAAATATAATATACTCACTAATTAACTAATAGTAGAATTAAATTAATAGTAGTATTAAATAATAAAATAATAATATTTAGATGTTTAGTAATTTGACTAAAACAATATTTTTTTATTTATTAAAGTTTGTAGGTACATTTAAACATTATTAATTATTAAATAAAATTTGAACTCTTCTTGGTTGCATACAAAATAACTGAATAACATCA